TCCCACGTCAACGCGTGCGATTTCGAGCTGCCTTTATTCGCCGCTCCTTGCAGCGAAGTGTTGTCCACCCAAACGTCCATGGTGGATGGCAAGATGGCGGAAAAGGCCGATAAGGCTAAGCGCACCGCGCGTGCCCCGGCCTGCGTGATAAGAAAAGGCTTCCTCTTCCATTTTCCTCCGGCAATTTTAACGTCGCCGGAGTCTGGAATTAAAACGGCTCCCCATCCCTGGAGCGATGCGTCCGTGATGATGGCGGCCGATGCCTTTTCTGTGGGCTTGATGATTCGCTTACGGTTATATTCTCGATGATGTGTCACGATCTCTCGCCCAAACCAACCGCTGCAGGCGGAACGTTCGTCGGGGATGTCTCCAGCACAATCCCCCGGTTAAGTGCGGACAATCGTCGTCGCGCTGCCTTGATGAAAAAGTAGTAGTCGCATAAACGCGTGCCAAAAATGGCCGCCGCATACAAAAAGCGTGACGCCGTAACCTCCATTTCCGCGATGGTTAAAGAATTGGCCGCCGGCATGGCGCGCACAGACCGGACAAACTTGTCACTCAGTGACACCGCCCGGTGAGCATGATCAAACCGCACCCACAGAAAGGTGTACTGCGTAGCGCCCGATTTGCGATCCTCCCTTACCGTGGCGTGACAACTGTCCGCATTACGAAGCACTAGGGCTTCCCACAATGTCGCATCGCTTTTCGACCCTGCAATGCGTACATTACCGATCCAAACGTCGATACGCACCGATGGAGGTGCAGCCCAGAGGCGGTGAGCCACCGTCGTCACCCCCGCAATTGCCGAAGTAATAATGATCTGGAGAATTTCTGGGCTGGCCTTGTATCCCATTGGGAGCCGTGTCAGTTCCACCAGCGTGCCGTCCTCCACGCGGCATCAAAAGAGATGCCGAGTCTCCCGCGGTAAAGAAACTTGAGCAAAGGATGCCTTTAATTCCAGGCAGGAAGCGGCCCCAGCCATCACAGGCGGCAAATAATGGTAACTGTGTAAAAGAGGAGCATGAGCCTCATAAGGGTCCTCTCTGTTCTTGTCGCGCGGCCACGCGATCCATCGTCGTCGTAAACCGGTGGTTTTCTCCTCCACAACCGAAAAAGGTATTGTCCATCCGCCTGTTATTGTGGACAAAGCGTCCTCGATTACTCCCGCTTCCCTCAACAATCGCGCGTCAGCTGCTGGAATCCTCCGTGAGCCTTCGCACGCTTTACCTGAGGAAGAAGACGGAGGGAAAGGGGACCGCCCGACGAGCCCCCAAACTTGCATGAGCCTCTCCAAGGTAGCCGGGTTCAACCGACTCATGATCCACTTTGGTATTCAATACGGGCACTTTGACCTGCTGTAACGGGATAGCGTGTTCGTCTTGTGGAATGGCCCGACGCGTCCTTGTCGCGCGTCTCGTTATTGTAGCGGCATGATTGTGATTAAAATCATGAAAAAACGCTCCTCTGCTCTCAACCAGGGTTACTGCCCTTCCGCATTGTCTCCCTTCACATCAATGCGACCAGCGGCAACACCTGGGTCAGCATTGTGGTGTAACTCCCCAAATATCGAACAGTATTCTGGGGAAGGTCGAACGGGTCGACGTGCTCCGCCAACTGCGAGATCACGTGTGGGCTCAAATTGTGCGTCTCCACGATTTCAGCAGCGCGCTTCAGCGCACCGCGTTTTATGGAATGCGCCGTGGCATCTCAAGGAGCCAGGGCTCGCTCCACGTGGGCGGTCGTCATGTTCGTGAGTTTTGCGTTTTCTTGAAGTGTCCCGCATAGCTTTATAATGTCGAAGGCGTCCTGCCCTCGTATCCTCACGAACCGCGAGGCGCGGTGGGGATCCGCCCTCGCCGTCTTCGGCGCCACGGACCTATCCAAAATTAAGGTCCCGTCCGGCTCCAGTGTAAAATTGTTGGGTGTCAAGGATGCAATCTCAAACAAACGACTCGCCGTTATCCACGCAAGTCGTAAGACAACACGCTCTTTCCAATCGGTTCGGCTGTGGATAACTTGATTCATCTCTTCCTTTGTCAGGGGGCGCGCCTGCTTCGTCTGCTTCGTCTCCGAGCGCGCCGCAATATTTTGTAGCCCCAGAATCACCATGCCCAGCGGGGTTCGATTCATTTCTAACATGGACCGCAGCACCCTGGCGTACTGCAGTCAGGCCGATGGCGCCACTTCGATTGCCACCAAAAGGCCGCGCAGCTCTCCTCGTTGATCGGCCGTTCGTGCGTGCGGCAAAAGGTTGTGAATTGCCCAGCTAGGGACATTCTCTGCTCCCACGTTGACGTCGCCCACATTTATCGATCCGCCTCGTTCGCTCTCTTCGTGTGGCTGGCCAAAAGCGAGGATGTCGGTGGTTCGTCGTACCACGGTCGAGCGTCGTTTACGGATAAGCTCCTTTGCCCTTTTCGACGATTGCGTCGGGCGATTTGAAATGTCGGGTGGGACATCGGCGGTGCGGTGCGACGTCTGTGGGGAATAGCGGGAGGCGGCAGAACGGGTGGGGGCTACCGTCGTCCGTCTTCATGAGCGGCGGGCAGCCCCTTCGCCTTTTTTTGACGGCCGTCCGTACTGCGAGTAAATTCTTCTAGGTGCACTTCGAATGCTGCATGTAGATGTGTCGTGCCCGTAAATGCGACACGGTGGAAATCGCACCGGTCGTCGCGTCCCTCGCCGTTTCGCGAGAGGCTGGGTTGCCCTCGCAAAATGTCAGCCTCATAAACGGCGGTGTAAAGACGGGCGCGCAGTTTGGAGAGCCGGATACCGGAATCGGATGCCATCATTAGCTGCATCCGGAATTTCTGCAGTAAGATCCAGTCCAAATCCATGAAACGGTCGGTGAGGTCCCGCCCCGCTTCCAGCGCACCTATCCACGCAACTAAACAGTCGAAGGGAAGTTGGACCTGGTGCTCCGTCTGTTGCCAATAATTGTATGCACTCCGGAGGTCGACGACGACTCCGGAAACGCCCTCATTCCATACATGCCGGACCCAAGTGGTGACGTCGAACGCGCAGAAACTCAGTTGCTCTTCTTCTTGACCAGAATGGGCGTCCAAGTGGGATGTGCAGGAAGGCAAAGGCATCAAGGGACGGAAATGTGGTCAAAACAAAATTGCCCTGAGAGGTCTGGGGGATGATAACCTGCCGTCGCTCTCCCGCCGAACTTCGTTGGGCCGTGCGTAACAACGCGCCCCCAACCACCAAGCGACGCGCCTGATCTGGTTGTGTTGTAACGCCATCTTCGGCCATATTTTGACGCGCGACAGGTCCACCTGTCAAACCTCTCCGAGTCGTAGGGGCTTCTTCCCCGCCTGCCGTCTCCGCATCCCGCGCGGATTGCTACGCCTCTCTAGCACTAATGCGTGCCTCTCGCTCCTGCAGTTGGGCGCGGTTAGCCTCCAATTGCTGTTCGCGTCAGGCGACCGTGTATTCTCGTTCTGCAAAAAGGCCGCCGGCGACCGCAATGTGAGATTCGCGCGCCGATAGGTTGTTATGCGCCTCTTCCGCCTGCGAATTAAGCTGAGCGTTTCGATTCTGCACGTCCGCAACGGCGTGGGCGTAGTCATTGCTCATTCGCTCCCTTTCGGCGATGAGGAGCCCTTGCTGGACCCCCAACTCCCGGGCCGCACCCACACGATGGGCGGGAGCACTTGTGTCCCACAATTTGGTACTTGAGGCGCCCGGAGATTCGCAACATGTCCCGTAAGGGTCGAATCCTCCGGGGTTTGGTGGTGGATCCCAAAATCAAGTGTAAGCCTGTCATTGAGGTGGCCACAGTTAACGACGCCTCCGACATCCCCGGTTTCACCAACAAAGGCGGGGTGCACCTGCATATCGCCATGTTGGCGTACCAGGTGCGGAGGACGGGCGCCAATATCGCTCCACTCGGAGACCGTGTAAAATGAACCAAAGCCATTTCCTTAAACCAACCTCGCTGTGTCAGTAAATTTAAAAATAAAAACAAAACATTATCTGGCCTCTATCGGTTCCCTGCCCCATTAAATTCGTGTTCTTCGCAGGAATTCATAAGATAGGAAAAGTAGCATAAAGGAGCGCATTCGCTTATCAGAATATAAACAGTAAGTTAGCCAGCTCTCCCGCGATCATTCTCTTCAAAAGTCCCTAATAAACCAATCAACAAATGATCTATAAATAATGAAAAGTAAAGAGGTGCCTGCCACGAGCATCGACGTCGTGCCGCAGCTGCGAAGGGCCTTGTGCCTTCTCGCCGCGTAGAATTACTGCTGGGGGCAGAGCCTTCCGCCCCGAGGAAGAAATATGCCAACTTCCTCGTAAAGAACAGCTCACTCGTCTCTCCAGTGTGCAGTCACGGTGACCGCTCCCCTCGCAACCCGCACTCCCGCGCCTCACATTCCTCCCCCTATGCACGCACGCAAAGCGGCACACGACGGAGGCGGCCACGTGGTTCGACGAGCAGTACAGCCGGTTCCTGAGTATGATGCCCGGAACTCCCGACAACAAGGAAGTCTGGAGCGCCGCTGCTCCGGCAGTGCGTCTTGGATCATGCGGTTCTCGGCAACAGGCGCGGCTCACCGAGCTTACATGCAACTGCGTCAATAAGAAGGGGGCACAGAAGAGGCGCACCGCCAGGCTGCACAATGAGAACCACAGCCACGTCATCACGCTCGTTATTGACCCACCGTGATCCGCTCCTCATAGCCACAACGCGCTAGGCGGAATTAAGCCCCGCATCGATGCGAAAGTAGCTCCAGACGACTGCAGTTCCAAAAACATATACATCAAGAATCGTCGGGTGATTCGCACGCCGCCGGAGGGCCAACGACGCCGCAAATTTGGGAAGGACGCTACAAACCACCGCCACGCACACACTTACGCACGTCCGCACACCAACACGCGTACCATCCGCCACAAGACGTTGAACTGCGCGTCGGCAAAAACATTGCATGTCCACGGTCCCACTCATGTGACGGGGCCGCGCATTGCGGGGCGCCAAGGCTGCGCCTCAAATCTCAGCAGTCGACACACAGCCAGACGCGTTTACCGACGTCACTGCAACACACGCCGGCAGAGTCTCGCTGCCGATGGAGCGGCGGCCGGGCACAACTCAGCGAGCAGAAACGCGGCGCCTGCGTGAAAAAACAGCAAGCACGGTGCATGGGCAACAGAACACGCCCTTCGTGCTGCTCAGCAACGGCGCGCTGCTTCCGCGGATGCAGAGGGTGGCTCAAAAAGTGACTCTCACAGACACGGAAGAACGCATCAAAGTTGGGGCGGCGATCCGCTTGGTTCCCGCCCCCATGACCCCCTGCCTGCTCCGTCGTCAGTCGAAGCTGTTTAGCGCAGCGGGAGACGGCATCGCGTAGACAAAAAACAAGCATCCGCGTACTTCACCGGGCGTGGGGGTTTGTGCCTCGAGTGTGGTGAGGGTCCCGTGAATGCTCCTATCGTCCTTCCATTCACTTGCCTGGGCCTTGTGTCTTCCGGCGACGGCGGAGGGCAGCGACTTTTGCCAGCCCCAACAACCCGCATGCATGCACGCACACACACACAACAGTAACGGTCCCCAGCAACGCGTAAGCCACACAGTCACACACTCTCCCCCTCCTCTTCCCAAAAAAAAAAAAAGACTGTGGTGATCGTTGGGCAAAAACTAAGAAGAAAGGCGCACACCCACGGAGTGCTCACAGTTTGCTCCCCCAAACGGGAAACAAACCGAAACAGATTCACAAACAATTCACTCCCCGCATACCCCCATCCCATCCCCAAGCACCATCAGTAATGACATGTGAGGCCCATGTCAACAGCACCCCGTTTCACGGGTTCGTTTAGACTTCCCAGCGCCGACCACCCACATCAGCGCAGCGCTGCGGGAGCGAAAGGCGGTGCAAAACAAATTCACAAACGAAATCAATACAACGCAGCACCCACTACAATCCGCTCCACAAGAAAAAGCAGCAATTATGACGGTAGCAACACAAAGACAATGCCTCAGCCATGTGGTCACGCAACAAACCCGTAGCAATGCCACCACCACCAGCACCATCCCAAATGCGATCCCTTCCACCTCCCAGACACACCGCAGTGCTCGTTGAGGCAAAGCACCACAGGGATTCTCGGGGAGAACCATGCGCCTGTTTCACTCACTGTAGAAGACACGTACTTCTGCATCCGCTACCCCCCACCTGGCACCGACATCCCTTCCTCAGCCCAAATTCCGCAACAGCCACCGCCTCCTCCCTACACTCACCCTCAGTCGGGTGCTCAACATCACGTCTCTGCCAGCCACTCATCGGCGTGCTGTCTGCCTGCCGCACATAAATAATATCCCACGACATGTCTCGGAATAATTCCTCCCAACTATTAAAATATGCCGCCAGGCACTCAGTGAACTGCCTCACAGTGCTGGCGGTGGTGTGGTGCCCACTCGCCATATTCGTCCGCAGCCCAACCAGCGTCATTGGATTTGACTTCACAAAGAAAAAGCCGTCCACCAGCGGAGGGTTTTCGACCTCCGGAATGTACAGCACCCCGCACTCTACATCAGTCTTCTTGTCAATGCGTTCCACCGACGGCAAAAAAATAGTGCCTGGTGGAGCCCTCCTGTGAGTACACTTCCGGCGCACAGCGGTGTGACTGACGTCGTGTTGGTGACCTCAGTCCCTTCAGTTTGAGTCCTACTGCAGTCATGGAATCCCCATTTAAAAATGCAAACACGGCGTAATTCCCAAACTTTTTGGTATGAAATAATCTCTGACCCTCGATACAAATAAATTAAAATCAGCCTGCGGCATTAACTTTGCCAACATGCACAATGTTTTGCTTGCGAGGTGGGCAGTCATCGGTGCATTGAAAGGCGACTCGCCATTGCGCTCTCCTTGTACTCGGACGGTATCCACAAGCTTGTGGGAAACGTTATTAACATCTCACATTTTATTAGTTCCCAAAGTAAGGTAATATTTGGTATCCAAAGCGGTCATCTTATCAACTGTACTGTTGCAAACCTCAATCCGACCACCAGATCATCGCTTATCAAAGATGTAGCAAAGAAGCAGTCTCACTTTATCCATGCAACCCTCACCTCCCTCCAGTACTCTGCCTGCTTACCAAAAGGCTGGTCACGCTTCATCCAAACACACAACGCCTTCACGTCCTTTTCTTCAGGGTAATTCATTACAGTTCTTACGGCTGTCCCTTGGTTGTACCATTCCTTAAAGTTACCCTCGTTCGGTGTTGTTACCATAGCCATGCCCCATTCATGAGGAAGCCGCATCCTAGACGGATTACGACCCATCTTCGCCGCGCAGTAGACAACATACCCATTGAGACCACGCCAAGACAAACTCCTCACAACAGACGCATTACTGGAGTCACCCATGTATATTGACACCGTTTTGACGGTCTTGTCAAACACTTACGTCGTATCTCCCAAACAGTGGAAAACAACCTGGAGTTGCTCCGCATCGTAGTGCAGCAGCTGGTAGATGAGGTAAGAACCGGCGTTCATCGAATTCCCGATCCCGGGCGTCCCAATCATGACACGCGCCTCTCGGGCTTAAAGTGCTCCTCAGGACGACTGTTAAACCACTCGGTTACATCGCCCTTGACGATCTGCCACACTCGCTCCACCTCACAGTTCACATGGCAGTCACAAATAGGTTCAGTCCCCCCCCCCACGAGAACGGCCATCCCTCGTCCGAGGTGAGCACCATCAGACTGGGACGTGCTGCACCGGATTGCTCCACACCATCATCCTTTTCAAAAGTTCGGCCAACTGCCTTGTACGTCCATGGCTGTGGTGGTTTCCCCTCCCTCAAATCCATTCCCACCCCTTTGCCGTCAGGAAATTCCACCACATGGCTCCACCTCGCATTCTACACAGACTCGTAGCATCCCCTGCATGAATTCCTTTCCACTCAACTGTAAATACCCCATATTAATCGCCGCACCTACTCCACTCTTCTGCGAGTCGCAGCAGGCTGATCCATGTCGGTTTGGGGCTCTGGCCTCGCCCTCCTCTGACGATCTCCCTGCGGTACAGCAGACGCGAGACTCCTGGCATTGTCATTGTGTACACTCTTACGCTTTCCAGACATTGTTTCTCCTTGTTTTCTTAGTTGGATTCAGTTAAAGCTAAAACTAACAAACAATCTAAAGGGGAATTTTAAAAAAATACGCACAAAAATGACTAGCAGACACAACAGGAGAGTCATCTACACAGTGTGACGGCACGGTTTGCGATACACACCAAATGCACGAGGACCACCGCAACGACGGCAAGTGGGTGCCAACCACCCAGCACAACGTTGGAGAGAGCCAACAACAACAAAGTGGTGTGCACGGAGTGTTCACTCACGCATTCCGCTCGCTACGGTCTCACATCCGTGTGGCAGCGCCGTCACCGCACACACTCCACAATAATACATGCGCGCATATCGTCCCTGACACACACAAACACACAAAAGTGGGAAGGGGATTCGGTAAAGCAGCGGCCACACGCAGGGACCCCAAAATCATACACGCCACAACAGCGATGCATCATATCAGGCTCCCAGGCAAAATAAAAGAAAAAGGCAAAAGGCAAATTACGTGCTTTATGGAAAATTTTTGCAATTCGCACAGCACAAAAGAACCATGACACTGCCTTCAATATTGCATTCGTCATTTACATTCCCAATGCATAGCACCACGGATATTGCCCCTCCATGGTGAAAACGGCTGCCTCGTTGTGGTGTCATCACGCAGCAACACGCCTGGGTGGGAAAAAGAAGAAAATCAGGTGTCCGTCCGCCTGAAGGAAGAGAGACTCAGCCGCAGTGTCCTCCATGACGCAAACACCCCACATCCAATGCCCGGTGTCGTGTGCGGACTCCGCGAGGAGTTTGTGGGCACGCCGCTGTGCCACACGGTGTGACCCCCTCGAAACGCAACAGCGGACATGTTCCCTTCCGGTCGCACTCGTGTCAGTGGTGGCATCCACTGCCTCGCCGCGTGCTGGTGGCGTCGATTACGATGTTGCAGTGTGATATTGGATGCCCGACAGGAGCGGTGCTGCGTTGGGTGGGCAATGCGCTCCGCGGCGAGACACCCAGCGCGACTCTTGACCGCTGCACTCACGCACTTCCCTCCACTCCTCTCCCTCCATTCGGCAACCGCACAGCCGCCAGCACATTGTCCCCGAAGCAACACGCACGTGAAAGCGTGGCAGCATATTTCCCGAGAGAACACAGTAACAGCTACACGCTGCGGCCATCGTGCCGACAAGTCCGGCGCAAACGCGCCCACACCCACAGCAGCAGACACACAAAAAAGAGATCTGACACTCCGTGCCACGTCCTCATGGTGCGGCGCCTCAAAACAATACCGCCACACGCCGTGCAGCATTCTCACAGGGGATGAGAGCCACGGCGCACTCTCACTGCCTCCCCCTTCCTTCTCCTCATTGCCACGGAGTGACGCAGCTGCCAGCAGCGAGCGCAGGAGGAGCATCCAACTGCACCGCAACATGTACGCCGTGCATTTGTGTGTGCCTGCAGTCACGCAAAGAATTAAAAAAGAGAAGAAGAAAAGAGAGCCACGCACGTGAAGGGGCACACACAAACACGCAGCAAAGATGCAGGACTGAAAAAAAGGGAGAATGAAAGCCGCTGAGGCTCGAGATGGCACGGCAGCCCAACCAGCGGCAACCCACAATACTTTTCCTAAAATAAAAATAAGTTAGAAATTTTCTAAAACCCCTTTAAAAAAGCTTGCACACCCATTAAAGAACTAAAAAAAAAGAATCCCATCGTGACGCGGCAAAAAAAAAGACTGCTTGTACATTATTCATGCAGAACTAAAAACACATTTGCTTCGACCGTTCAGCCCTATGGTGTCTACACAACACCCAAATTTCATTGGGGCGCTCAGTGCGTTTTTTTTTTTTTTTTTTTTTTTTGCACCCCAACTCCTTTTTTTTTCCACTCCGCCATCGTCGTTGAGCACAATGCCGAGTGCACTTATCATCGGCAGGCGGAAACATTAAATACAATCCGCCATTATCAGAAAATTAGACTATATAGGAGAAGACAGATATATGTATATATAATGAAAGAGAAGAACAAAAACATATAACCAGCGGTGCAGTCCCCGGAGGGGGAGCACGCCGTTAAATAACGACTTTCATGGGGGAAAAGGGTATTCAAACCGAAAATAAAAATACATAAAATGAACGGTGCATCTACAAAATAGTTGGCAATTACTCCGGAGGGTGCGTGGAGAAGCACAGATGCTCACGCCGGTGGCAGTAATTCCTCACTGCAATTTCTCAGTAAAGGGCCGCAATGCCCCACATCCCCAGCAGCATCAGCAGCAGCAGCGCCCGCGACACGCCCCCATGCATGGAGCCGTCACTTTTCTTGACCATTTTTAGTTCCTCCTCACTCAGTTGGCGGTTGTACAGAAAAACGTTCTTCACCGTCACGCTGCTGCTCTTTTTATCTTTCTCGTCTTCGCCGCCCCCAAAGTAGAAGTCCGCAATTTCATGCCCCCGCGTATCAAGTGTTGGTAGCGTCGCCAAGCTCCCCACAATTACACCATCCACGTACACGGAGCCCTTGTTGTCCTCCTGCAGCATGATCGCCACCTGATATTCTTTCCCCGGCTCCCACGTGCTGCCTGATTTCGTTGTCTCGCCGTTGAACACTGTCTCCCACTTGCCGTCCGTATTGTACGCAAGCCCAATGAACTTCGTGCTGATGGGTTCGGCCAGCACCGCACCCAGCAGAGGAGTGCTTCCATTCGGCACCTGGTGGATGGTTACCGTCGCCACAAGTGTGAAATCGTAATCTACAAAAGTGTACGGCCCACTTCTCTCCCGGTTGTTCACGGGCCATGTTGCCTCGGACACAAACCCCGTGAATTTGAACCCATTTTTGACCTTCACCGCATTCATGACCTCCGCATTCACGCAACGGTAATCGTCGATCCACGTGTCACCGCTAGCCGCATTGGACAGGAGTCCAACCAGGCCAGCCGTGGGTGTGGAAGAAGCGGAGAAGGAGGCATCCAGCTGCGCCCAAGTGCTGAGGGTGGACTTGATCGTCTGCAGCTCCTCCGTCAGGTGGGCAAGGGATATGCCCCGGCGCGTTCCCACAATACTCTCTCGTGAAAGGTGCAACGCACCATCCGAGTACAGCAGGGCGTTTTCGAGCGTCTCATCCACAGCATGATCCGTAGAAAGGGGTCCAAGATGAAACGTGCGGCTATTGTCCGTGACCCAAAGGTAGAGCGCCTTGGCTTCAGTCCCCCAGAAGGGGTGCCCTTGCCGAGTGTACAGCATGGAGTTTCTTTCCCTCAATGGTCGCGGTGATGAGGTCTCCTACACGCAAGCTTTTGTCCCAGGGAGCTCTTGGTCGTGACTTGAACCACACGCCTGGGAGTGTCCCAACAGCCTCCGTCCACTTTCCCCCCATGTCACGCGACTCGTACACATTCTGGTCATTGCCGCATTGAGCGACCATGAGAAGTTTTCCCTTCTCCCATTCGGTGATGCGGGGGTGAATGCGCTTCGCAGGGGAAATGCCCCCTGAGAGCATCCACTTGTTGCCGTTGTTGCTCGAACAGAGGATCATGAAAAAAGGTTAATTTTTCCCATTCGCCACCACCAGGGGAAACACAAGTGCGTCATTCTGCATCAAAATGCCTGAGCCACCAGCAGTCAAAAGTTCCCTCAGGTGATATTTAGTGTGTTTGGGGATCTGTTGTGAAAGCGACCTGGGTTCAGCCCAGCTAATCAGTGTACTCGGCTCGCCGTCCTTGAGCTGCGTGGCCACACCCTCAACCAGTTGAATATCCCAGCCACCTTTCTCCCAAATAACACCATAACTGTCATATCCTACAGTATCGCTTCTCACAAGTAGAAACACCTTACTGTCCCTCGCAACTGTTGTGGGCCGGTGAAAAACGCGCAAACAATTATCGCCATGCCTGCTGCCAAGCACGGTGCGTGCCCTTCACTCCTTCTTGGTGATCTCAGAGAGAATGGACGGCTACTTCTCCGCAGCCTTGATGTACCCGGCCACAATGTCGGAAGACCAAATCGTAAACAATTTATTTTCATGGACGTTATACTCGGAAAAGCCTTCAGCAATGGCAACCAATACTCCGCCAGCACGGAAGAGAAAGGGTGAGACAAATGCTCCCTTCACTTCAAATAAACCACTCCCATTTCTTGACACCACCTGCGTATTCTTCGGCACAAAAACGTCGATCTCCTGCGCCAGTTGCACAACCCCGGACCTACTCTCCACAGCGTGCGCAGCTCCACTGCCACAGCACATCAACATGATGACAAGGAGCACAGCACCGCAGAATTAAACACATGCCGGGACATGTTGGGCCTCTGCGGCTCACTCTCTCCTCCTTCCCTCCTCCTTCCGCTGGATCCGGTCACGCGGCGACGGTTGTGTGTGCGGGGTGCCTTCACTGCAGCAACACGTGAGAGCATACAAATATTTGTGTGTGTGGGCGGTGTGTGTGCTGTTGTTGGTCCTTTCAGTGCCTTCGAATTTCACAGTAGCGCTTAGCGTTTGGTATTAACTTCCTTTCTCCATGTAATTTTGCGTGGAATACAGAAAAAAAAAAGAAATGAAAAGAATACACAAAGTAATAAACGCCGTCACCATTCAATGTGGGCCACGTATTTGCCAACGTGTTTCTTTCTCTACCCCCCACGGCTCAAACATGGTGTAGCTGCAAAAATGGGAGCACAAGTGCATTTGTACATTTATGGGGCAAGACGCCCTCCTGTACGCAGCATCGACCCCCCACCCCCCTCCCCACACAGACACAAGTGGCCGGAAGATAATAAGCACAATGAAAACCCAGGCGCTTCAAACCAACAACAAAGCCGTGCTTTCGTTGGTTCTTATGGTAAAGACGATCACACGGCATGTATTCATGCAATATTATGTAAATCGCGTAAACCAAAACTAAAACCCCATGTGGCTCTGAGAGTGGCTCTTTTGTATGTATTTTGAATTGCTCTATTCCGCCAAAGGGAAAAAAAGCCACTGGGGGTTTTCCACTTCGATGAACCGCGACATGTTCTGAATCTAAAAAAACAATGAGCCATTTGTGTTGACAGCTATCCACCCATTTCTTCATGTTGTAATGCATCGGAACCCCATTATGAAGGGTCATCCCACATCTCGTAACAAAAAAAGAAAGGTTCCTTTTAATTTTTCCCATCTTTCCTTCCCCAACATCCAATTTCAGCGCCATGGTGCACTCAACACCCCTCCACATATTCACATTTCTCTCCAAAAACATGGCGGTCAAAATGGCCTTGATTTTTCCGTATTTATTTGATGAAGCAAGCCTCTGGAATTAAATGCCTTCCTTCTTCACATACTTTTATATTTTTGCTACAGAACCGAAAAAGCCTCTCAGGCGGCACACCACTGTCCTCGATCCCACCTACGATCTCCCTCGTCGTGCCCGTTACCATTGTGTTTTCTCAAGAATTAAAAATAAATAAAAAAGTAGGGTTTCTCACACCATATTTTCCGCACGTTGCCTGACGGAGACAAAATTATTCTTCCAGCGAACGCCTTCCGTCCGGCAGCACAAAAGGCGTTGCACCAGGCCCTGGCAGCAGCAGCCTCGCCTCGCGCCGCTTTGCCAAAAAAGCGGCTTCAACAGCTGAAAAAAAGGCCATACATCACAATATCATCCGCTAGTGTGCATTATACCAGCGCCCCGTCAAACCCCAGAAAAACATGGCATTATTTTTTTATGATGATCGGCGTCGTCATACGTACGGGTTGAGAAAATATGCGTTTATTTTAAATCAATCGATCACGCAAAAAAAAAAAAAAAAAAAAAAAAAAAAAACTCCATTTGCCTTATCCTTGCCTCCAATCCAAACAATAATAAAAAATGATAATAACAATAAATAGGGAATAACTGATCGCGTGCAGCGTAAGCACAAAATAAGACGATACTAGCAACATTAGTTGCAGTGGCATTTCATCTTCATCACAAAAAATCCACTCCGCAGAGTAATGTGCACCAACAAAATCTTTACATTTATACTTCTTGGACTGAGCGTTTCATTTATTTATTTATTGCGCGTCAAACGCCGTTGACGGTGATCAAACCCGTGAAGGCACTCGCGTTGCCCTTCCGTTCTTCTGCCGTCAAAAGAACAGTTGCGCAGTCCCCTGTGGAGCCCGCCCAAACAAACCTCATGTGTGCTCAATCGCAGTAAAGCAATGACCCGCTCTCAAGTTGGGTGACGGTAACCCAGTGCCCACGGAAACGGTTGCCTGAGAGGTACGCTGACAGCCTAAACCGCGTCTCAAAGGAAATGAACTTTTCCAGTAAATCCCTTAAAAGCCTCCATGCCACTTTCGGTAATGAGACGGCAATAAGCCCGCCCAGCCGCTCAACTCCTCGCTGCTCAGCGCAATGAGAATGCCGGTACATTCTCCCATAACGAAGGTCCCCAAGAGAGAGTGACAATGACGACCCCTTTACACTCACATACATACACACAAAAGTTCACAGAAAAAAAAAAAAGGCAAATCGGTAAATTCAATTATATACATACATATATAGAAAGATAAAGGTGGATAGGGAGTACCAATACAACATTCCAGCAGAAAAAAAAAATTTCTTTCGAGTGAGCGTTTTCTTTCCACATATCAGAATGTTTTGTGCGCACCCGAGTTCCACCAAAAAAAAAGAAAACTAAAAACAAAAACTGTACATTCAAATTGCATCGCCCTTTACATGGCATTTCCTGCTCTTGCGGTACGTCGAGGCAAACCCAAGATGCATGTTCGACATAATCACGCCGGGATCATTTTCCTTGTGAGAAGAGTACACAAGTTTACGTGCATCTTTGTCCTCCTCCATAATCTCCCTGAGCTCCGGAGGCACTAGGGCATCAAAGCACGCACGATCCACCACAAAGGCCTCCGAAAGCCCGTAACTCGTCACTGTGGAACTGTACTGCGGCATCGAAGAGGCGTACTCGTAGGCTCCCAAAACCAAACTGAAAAATGCCTTCGTCATGGGCTCCCGTCCCTTGTAAAGCGAGTTGTCGTTTGATCCCGAAATAACTTCCATGGCAGTGACCTCGCCATTGACTGTGATCCGCACTGTATGATGCTCCCCATTTCCCGCAATAATTGTTGTTTCAAACACACCATTATGCAATATAATGAACTGCTTAAAAAGCTGCCCCTGAGCCACAAGTTTCTCGTCATTGAGGTAAATTACAGGAAGAGCGGCTTCCCACAATCGGCTTATTAACTGACGTGTGAAACAAAACGTCAGATACGGATCTTTTCTCACGGAAATAGAAGGATTTGTGGGCTTCACCACCTCATTTGCACGTTGGGATTTGGCGGCACTGCGGCAGTATAAAAACGCAGCCGGTTCACTCATTCCAACGTCAATAAGAACCTCGCGGCGCATTCTCCAAATATCGCAGTAATTTTTGCTGATGATAGAATACTTTTTTCTCTCATTAACACTACAGGCGCATTCAAATATCCCTACACAGCTCCCACGCGGTATGGTACGTCGGGTGCCATCCTCCTCCAAGAGGATAGCAACGCCGTCTTGAATAAAATAGGCGGAAGAATCCATATCAGACTTTGAAAACAGAGGATCGCCGTCGTGAAGCACGATGGGCTCGACGGCAGAAATGATTTTATTAAGAGCCTCAACACTGAATTTCTCAAAGTACGGAAATTGGCTAAGAAGCTCAACGCGCAAAGGAAAGAATTTCTGCAAGTTTGCTCTTCGTCGAACGTCAGTCGCTTCTCTTTGTTGACTTGCCACCTCTGGACTCAAATGTTGCGCAACCTCCTCGTAGTCCTCGGGGGAAACAGTCCAGGCACCCACATCGGTTTCACATTGAATGGATGCACTCCGAGGCTCCTTACACACCAAGGCAAATTCTCCCACATAACACGGTGGAGTGAGCGCAAAACATGCCTTACTGCACTCTTTCGTTCGTTTTTTCCCCTTTGAGCGATCATTCAAAATAACACTCACTGAGCCTGTGGTAATCATGTACATGCAGCGGTCCAAGTCTCCCTCATGCATCAAAAACTTTCCTGACTGAAAAAAAAGCGGCTTTGCCTTTCGCGCCAGCATCTCCAAAAGAGGAGATGGCCACCCTTTAAAAAAGGTCCCGTACATACTACGAATGATAGACGGCGACGGAAATGGTATATTTTCCAGATTCATTCGAGTTAACTTCTCCGCTTCTTTTCTCTTCACGCTGACGGCTGCCCGGCGCCTAATAATAGGAAGAAGCATCCACGTAATCTTTTCATACGCCCCGTGAATGCGTCTCTCCTTCATCAGTGCCGTGAGAAACACATGAGAAAATATGATGGTGCACCATCGCCTTGCCCTAACCGTCTTCACTTCCCCTCGCAAAATAGTCGCCAAGTTTTTGTGGCGGGCAAAGACAGCCTCCCTTCTTGAAATTCCTCCCTCGTATTCCAGACGACGCCCTTCCTGCTCAGCTTCAACCTGCGTTGAAGCACGAATTTGAATTTCACGTATGTATTCTCTTGTATTACGCGTATGAACCGTACTAAGACGTCTTTGGAATTCCTCCTCAACAAGAGGAGGAGTTTGCCTTAACCTGGCAAGAATCATCTTCTTTTCCCACTCGCTAATTACCCCGCCTATCGTCAAGGCATCCGTCATCAGAGAGTAATGCCGTGAGGAACGACACGGTGGCACAAACGGAGGGCAGACAAACTCGCTGATCGGCTCAAGTTCATCGAGGACGCTCTCGAACGAAGGCAGGACCGTACGGGTGATGAGCCAATCGTGGTCATCCACGCCTTCCCCACCGTACGCGAGCACCATAACTGCTTCCGGAGAGAGTAGGAAGAGAATAAACAGGCGGGTGTTTTAAAAATTGCCGTCAATACGTAAAAGCACAAATAAATAAATAAATAATAAATAATAGAAAAAAAAAAAGGTCAAAAAAAGCACAAAACGCATTTCAAAAAAAAAAAAAAAAAAAAACAGCACCAAAGGGGAAAAAGGATTCATCTCAAACAATTTCACTTTATATTCATTTATTTTTTGTCGTCCTTTCCTTGAGAAATCTGGCGTCACCCCTTTTCCAAACATCACAGACACAAAGAGAGAGAGAAATAAAAAGAGAGAAAGCAACATGTCACCGCAGTCGTAACAAAAGACTTTCAATCGTCGGGATCTGTGCATTTGGCCTTGCGGGTGACCTTCTGCTTGACGCGGTGTAAGTCTTCGTCACGAAGCTCATCCGGTCCCTTCCAGCGACCCAGCTTTTTCAGCATCGTCTTCATCTCCGCAACATCTTCGGGCGAGATCTTGTCGTGGTAGCGGCGAATAAACTCTTCGGCATCCACAGGGTCAATGTGATTATGGGCTGCCTTCAACGTGTCGGCATCATACTTGAAAAAAGTCTCATTCGTTTTGCTGTCCCTGTAGACAGGAACCAGTCCGGCCCGAATGGCCTCAAATATCTGCTGGCCACGAATATTCTGCAACTCAGCCTCTTCTGGTGTGTCGTTTCGATGGTACCAAAACTCAAATTTTGTCTGCTTCCACGCGGCAACTATTGTTTTGTGATCCGTATCAAACTTGCGAATGTACAGTTTGAGAAGCCTCCGGTACAGCAAGGTGGGGGAAATGGACTTTATTTCCGCAGCAGGAATGAGCGCTTCCGGCTTGGGTGAAATAAATTCTATTTTTGCACAACGAAAGGCAACCTGTCGGCGCATGTAAAAAAAAAAAACTGGAGAAAAAACGAAAACATTAAAAAGAGAAAAAAAAAAAAAAGGCATGTGTTTATCATTAATCAAAAAAAAAAAAAAAAAACCTGCAAAAGTAAAGATCATCTCGATTATGTTCCGACACCAATGCGGAGGTTTTTCGGCCATTCCCTTCTTTTCATTGTTTCTTCCTTTCCCCGTGTTCGTATGTTTGTGTGTGTGTGTGTGTGTCGCAATTTAGTGACGCCTCTAATCCGCCTCGTTCACTGCATGGCAGGCATGCGCTCCATAAATTGAAGTAGCCACTCCGTGCCAACCGCACGGTCTCGAAACAAAACATCCGTCTCATACGTTGACGGCAGGTACATGACCAACATCTTTTCAACCTTTCGCAGAAGTACCGCATCGGATGCAGTCGTGCACCCCGCGGCGTGGATGGCGGTGGGCAAATCATGAAGCAACACACCCTCGGCAACGAGGGACCGCCTGTTGGGTGGCCGTTTGTTTCTCCTTTGCTTGACTTCCTGTTCGGTGTTCACTCTCTGAGCAAGCCGTGAGGTTTCTGCTGCAGCATGGGCTCGCTTTGGTGCATGCGGGACCCAACGCGCGTCGTCCGGCATTAATTCCACAGAAGACCCCATTGGTGCGCTCATGGCAGCACTGCCCCCCTCACTCGCCTCCTCCGCATGCCACGACATGTACGTTTTCTCCTCCTCGTGCCACGCTCCCCCTGCCGAAAACAGGTGATGATCGTACGTCTGTAGCGGGACGGTCGCACCCCGTAGTCGCGAACTAAACAGGCAAAGAGGCAGCGGGGAAGATGAGACCCTCCCGGCATCGGCATCCACAACAAAGAACATGTCCCGAACTCCTCTTATTTTGTTTAACAGCGAATCCAATTCTTCCGGCAAAAAGGAAAGGGAGTTTACAGCCGTAAGCCGTACTTCATCCATAAACCCCAAAACCTTCTGCACCGCCGATGGATCACTACGGCACAAATTCGCGCAGCTGGAGATAAAATACTCGTCAACACCGCAGTCCACTAAGCCCCATCCCTTGTCTTTGGCGGAACCGCAAAACATGTTCAAATGATCCTTCCATCGTTCGAGTATCATAACCGCCTCAGCTTTGGCCTGATTGCGAATAAGCTCGAGTTCTACCCAAAAGTGACAAAATGTGTTAAATGCAAGCAGACAACGGCGCGGCACAAAGTTTCGCTCCTCCTTCGAAGCGCGTCGAATAACACCCATGATCAGTGAGAGAAATTCCACACGATGCATTGTAAAGCGTGCCACTAATCGAATGTACTGAGAGTTCGTCACCTCCTTACTTAGACTGCCCCACCGCATCCAGTTGATGGACAGCAGTGCAATGCGCTCCAACGCTACCATCGCCCCTTCGAGAGAAACAAGGGCCTCTCTCTTAATGTAGTCCACAATGGACTGGCGCTGCTGAAGGAGTAAACCCTTCATGGATCGGTGGGCGTAGTCTGGGTCCGCCAGATCCCGTAGCATGTAATCACAGTACGAGAGCTGCATAAGAAAATTCCTTTTTAACAAAAAGGACGCCTTTTCGAGAACTTCCCTCGCCATTGCCCGTCGCTCAGTCTCCGAAAGAAGCGGCTGTTGTCCAAGGCAATAATCTACAAGGCTAGTCCAAGAAAAGGCCTGGTGAGGGAAGACGCTAGCCCGCATCGCAAAGAAGAATCGCACCCTTTCATAACCAAATAACTCCATGCCCATGTAGGCGGTAGATCCGGTCTCTCGATCAATCAAGGATGTCCATTGAGCCCAAAGTTCCACCTCCAAGCGACGCATGATTTCCTCCTTCTCCGACGCCACAACGCGAGAGGTATTGTTCGCCGTCAGCGTTACCGGGCGCGGAAGGTACAAGAGCCTCGGCAAAGCATCTCCACCATGAACATTCCCGTGCATCCCCATGAATCTGTTAAGTTCAACGGCTGCCCCGCGTGCGCGGACAAGCCTCTCTTCTAAGCGGCCCTCAGTCGGAGGTCTTCCCCTGTATTCTGCCTTCAGAAAGAAGTCATAGTCTTCTTTGATTTCGTTTAAACCGTTTAAGGGTGTTCGAAGCACCCGAATGTACATTTTACGAACCCACTCACGTCGCAGATGTGCGTCACGAATTTTTTCACCTTTCCAGCGGATGTACTTCTTCCAAACCTCCGCGCTCGCCGGACAGTGCCCAATGTATCGCTGCAGCGCAGTCCTGAAGACATTATCCAACGTGGCATCGTCTGGACGAATAAAACGCTCCAAAAAACCCATAAATAGACAAAACAAATCAACACTAAAACATAGTGGAAGATGACGAAAAAAACAGTTCAGGACACGACAATAGGAGCAATACGTTTCCTTTGCATCATCCTCGTCTCCCTCATCCCATAGAAAACGTCGTCTCGCAGCCTCCTCTATTTCTCTCGTCAGATAGGCAGCCACCAAAGGCCCACTTGTCGGAAAGAAAAAGAGAGCCGCAAGCCATACATGTCTGACTGCTTTAATCGGAAAGCTCGCAAGGCTATTCAGAAGTGATATCCATGACGGGGTGCTATAAGCATTCTTGTTAATTTCCGTAAGATCTGTC